CCTCAGGCTCCAGTCACGCCCGAGCCAGTCGACCAACCGACCGCACCCTCATCCCCCCCCCTCCACCTCTATGCCTTACTGCCGTAGATCCCCTCCAAGCCCCGTGCGAGAAAAGTGGCCATGTAACAGAAGCTCAAACCCCTCAAGGATGCATCGACCCCCAGGGGATTAAGAAACGGATATCGAATCAAAAGAACCGCCATACAACCAAGCAACATGCGAAGGAAATGAGGTATATTGCCACCCGGACAAGTCGAGCCATTGTCGTTCATCAGATTACGCCACACCAACCAGCCCAAAAACAACGCGCGCAATCCGGGCCGAGGGAGAGGTCCGCCGGATTATCAGTAACTCCTGCCATGTGCACCCCGCCATCTGCAATTAGTTTTCATGAGCTCAGCCCCGCCCCGATCATCGTACAGCGAGTCCCGGCCAGGTTTGGAATGGACACTGCATCCACGATTGGGAGACACCTACCATCCTTTCTTCCGGGCGAACCGCTTGTTGAGGAGGGTCAGAACCTTGGGGACGTTGAACTGGACGTATTCGAGATCCAGGTCCTCTTGGCCATCCTTTTGCATTTCAAGGAGGTCATCGAGCTTGAGATCAAGCTCTAGCAGTCCTCGATTGCGACCTGTATCTGTTATTAGCATGAGATGAGGTGGCCCGAAGTCCATGGGGAATTTGCCTTTGTAGTGAAGCGAGATGACGAAGGTCCCGGGGAGGGGACTCGTAAAGTTGAAGTAGATGTTGGCCCTCCGGTTGTCGGGGACGTTGCTCTTCTGAATGACGCCCTCCTTCTCCAGGGCTTGGTGGGTGAACTTGTACGGCCCGAGGACCTGATGCTTCTGTTGCTTCCGCTTGGTGCCCTCGCTCTGGCTCCGCACGTTGTGCAGATAGTTCTTGTAGGTTTCCAGTTGTCCGACCAGGTAGGTGTTGTGATCCCGGATGGTCTTGAAGACCTGCTCGAGTTTCTGGGTCTCGAGGATGACCCCGTCCTTGAGCGAGCCGAGATGCTGGAGCTCTTGCTCGACTTCGTCGCGGAGCAGGCCAAAGTGATCAGACTTGTCGATCACCTGCAGCTCCTGCAATTGGCTGAGGAGTTCCATCGCCCGGATGCCTTTCCGCACCATCACGGCGTCGTTCCGGGAAGTCGCAGCGGCGTCGGCGACACGCTCGAGGCGGAGGGGCCTTCTCGCGACGGCACTGTTGGTCGGTATGGAGCGCATGATCTGCACAAATGTGGATTTGGCCTCCATGAAGTAGACTTCTTCCTGCGTGATATCAAGCGCGGCCGTCAAGTCGTCGATGGCCGTCTCCCACTTGCTGAACAGCGGGAGGTTGATGGCCCTGTTCTCCTTCCTGGGCAGTTGAGCGGGGGCAGGCCCCAGATCGCCCAACAGGACGGACAGGTGAGAGTTATCATCTCTGTTCAACTCGACCCTGTGCTTCTCCAAGAGGGCATGGGTCGCGTAAACCTCGTTCAGAGTGATGGAGAGCTCCAGATCCTTCTTCGAGAGGGCGACGTAGTTGTCCATCTCCAGACTCTCGTAGAAATCCTGGACCTCGCACAGATCGAGCATGAACTTGTTCACGCGCTCCTTGTGGTAATGGATGAACGGCTGGAGTTTGGCCATGTACGGTTCCTTCGCATATGAGGGTTTGTTGGCCAAATTCTGGAGCATCTTGGCAATGAGAGTCAGCGTGCGCCGTGGCCGTTCGGCTGGCGTGCCGTCGATAAGCATATACGACTTGGGCGTGACGATGGCGGGATTGATGAATCGGAGGAAGAAGAATCCACCGATGAGAGTACAGATGACCTGATCGTTGGCATCTGGGTACTTCCGCTTCGTCAGGCTTCGAATCTGCTTGCATATCCACCTTATCCCGTATGGAGTCTCCTCCAGCCCGTCAATGATGGTCCTCAAGAACCCGTTGGCGATTTCCATCAGCATGGTCAACCTGGGCTCGATGATCGCCTGGACCCGTGCATTCTCGGCTGCCTGCTCCGCCGTCACACCGCGGGGCAGGGACGCCGGCAGGCTCCCCGTGTCCTCTTCGATCTGTTCGATCATGCGCTCGTAGACTTTGAGGGGATTGATCTCCAGGTCCAGGTCCTTGAGCTCGATAAGGCCGTTGATCCGGTCGGCCAGCACGGTCTTCAGGTAGCTCTGCCCGGGCCCTCGTCGCGTATATGTGGTCATCATGCGGGATACAGGTGTGTTGGCTCGGAGCAGGGAGGAATATTCCGGGGTATTGTCGAATTGATATGTTAATACAGACTGAGGAGGCAGTCAGTCGGGACCTGCAAACACCGCAATTTCATATAGATGATGTACATACCTGGAACATGGTCAATAACAGATGTTCTTCGCGACTCTCGTACTGGTTTCCGTAGATGGTGAACATCACAGTTTGGAGGAGGGAGTCGATCTCGGCCATGGTAACCAAGCGACAGAGGTGTGCAATGTGTCGCGGCTCGGACTGTAAGAGGAACAGGAGGTTTCCGTATTTCTGTGTCTTCTCGTCATTCGGGAAGAAGCCCTCTTGCAGATCCGCAGCGTCTTCGAGATGACTGGCAACCTCATTTTGCTGGATACGGTCAGTCTGGATATGTATGTAGCCTGCTGCTGCCTTGTGGGCATACCTCTTCCAAAGCCATGCGATTTTGAATCAACAATGCGATTCGAGAATCGAGATACCGGACATCCTTCTCCAACACGAAATTCTTCTTGGATTGTGATGAAATCTTCGATTTGAGGTCGCGGAGGATCTTCTGGGCTGCCCATTTGATCAGTACCTCACCGGATGGGTCGGACGCCTTCGCATATGCCTACCTTTTGCCAAGTCATCTTCAATCTCCAAATCCTTCTCATTCGCAGACATGGACAGGTAGAGCGTAGTCATCGAATACCGTTTCGACTGACGGACGGACCTCCCGCCATCTTGGGAAGACATGGTGTTCTGGCGTGTTACGGGTTGGTAAGAAGAGGACGAAGCAGATGAGGCCCGCGACGGAGCCTGGAGCATAACGCTCATATCGCAGTCGCGCGCGCTGCGGTTATCGAGGATGAGGAGCTATTTGATGACAGGATTCGCGGGTAGTGCGTCGCCGAGTTTCGTGGTTGTTCGGGGGGGGGGGTGGTGTTTGTCTTGTCGCGGGAACAAAAGAACGACTGAATCTGCCAACGGGGCCGGGAGGGTTAACGGGTTAACAAGGCTGGTAATATAGTGATTAGGATGTTCGGGGAAGACTTCGAGTGCTTCGACGGTCGGGGATCGCGATGGGAGGGTATTATCGTGGTGGGTTAAGTGGAGGGGTCCCGACGGGAGGGAAGGGGGGAGGGGGGGGGGGGATGCGATGCTTTTTGATGCCGCAGACGGCTTGCGTCTGTGTCAATGTCGGCCAGCGAACTCGAATGGGGCTCTGGACAGGTACAGAACCGGTGTCGTCTCCGTACAGACCGGTCTTGGTGCAGTATTGTGGAGGTATTTGTGGCGCCGGGAAAGATGTAGTTCGGGCGCGATCGTCGCAAAGGGGTCCTGATGCGTCTATCTATCTCTGGAGCGGCAAGGATGATGGCCTAGGGTGGGAAAGGGAAAAAAGAATGACGGTGACGGATAGTATGCAAGCAAGTTGGATGTTTGGATTGATTACTGTAGATGATAGGAGTGCAAGAGTAGGTACGGTACCGGGAGATAGGAGGACCACGGCTGAAGCAGGGCGAGGATGGTCGAGGTTAGAGTGGAGGTTGAGATTGCGGTTCAGAATGAGATTGGCTGGTGGTGTGTGTGTGTGTATGAGCGAGTGGGGAGGGAGAGTGGGAGAGAGAGTGGGAGAGAGAGTGGGAGAGAGAGTGGGAGAATGCGAGCGTGAGAATGCGAGCGTGAGAGAGTGAGAGAAAGAGAGAAAGAGAGAAAGAGAGTAAGAGAGTGTGTGCAGGCCAAACTCTATCACCGGACCTGGCTGGACGTAGTAGTCGTAGTAGTAGTACGTTTTGTTTTTGGTTGACTGGGCTTGAATGATGGATGGCCGGTCAGGCAGAGGGAGGTCGGTCAGGCAGTCGGTCAGGTAGGGAAGTCAGTAATTAAAAGTCGCAGCCGTACTAGGTATAGAACTAGGTATAGAACTAGGTATAGAATGGGGATTTGAAACACGAAGCATGTACCGGTAACGAGCGACGGGATGATCTTATCTAGCAAGTAGTACCGGATAGTACAAGTAGGTACAGGTACAGGTACAGTGCGGAATCTGTGGTGGGTGTTGTGGCGCTGGACTGGACTCAGGATCAGACTTGTTCCCGGATGCGGGCACTACCAGCTACCGGTAGTGCATCTAGTGCTGCGACGGAGGATTCAGGTGGGTGAGAGAGGTGTACGGAGTAGGCAGGTAGGTACCGGTATGCAAGCAAGCAAGACAATAGCAACGATAAGAACAAGAAAAGAACAAGAACAAGAACAAGGACAATGACAATAATAGTTACCGGTATGATGATACAACTATACAACTATACAACTACCGGTATAGCAACATCAGCAACATCAACATCCTCATCATCCTCATCATCCTGATCCTCACTATCCCTATCAATTCATCATCCCAACATCACAACAGTTACCAGAACGGGATGCTGCGTCCAAGACCCAACTCACCACACCTACCGGTACCTGCCTGTAGTCCTTCCTACCGACCATCTCATCGGTACCTGACGCTAAAATCCAAGGGGGGGCCTGGGTGCCTGGATGCCTGGATGCCTGGATGCCTGGATGCCTGGATGCCTGAGAGTACCGGTAGTCTGACCCCTTTTTTTCCCGACACACATACTGCCTATTGTGGTAGTAGTAGTAGGTACAGTAGTAGGTGTCCTTACCTACTCTACCTACCTACCGACCTACCGACCTACCGACCGAGTAGGTACCGGCATCCTATCGCCTTCCCAGAGTACAGGCGTGGTACCGCCGCAGGATGACCACTCACCACCCACCACTCACCACCCACCACTCACCACCCACCACTCACCACCCACCACTCACCACTCACCAATCACCACTCACCATTCACCACTCGCCCCTCTCCACTCACCCCTCCCTCCTCTCCACTCATCCCTCTCCACTCTCTCATCTCGTGTTGCTCAAACTTTACATTCCGTATCTACTACGACTACTTCCACTTCCCCCGTGCAACAAATCCAGGGGGATGCCGTGCAACGTCACCGCCCGTTATTTGCCGGACTACTTACAACTACTGACAACTACTGACAACTACTGTACCTGTCCGTCGAGGAAAAGCACAGGAAATGACCATCGGACATCGGACAGCCCAAAATTTATACTTCCCTAGCTGTAGCACTAACGAACGAACCGACCCGCGAAACTCCTCCTCCACGAGCGACGGAACGGTAGCCTGTCCCTCGGAGGAGAAGCTTGTGCCTGGCCAAGCCGACACAAGCCCGGGCCCGCGCCAGAAACCAGGAACGAACGGGCTTGAGCGGGAAAGGACGGAGAGGACTGGACTGTACCGAGAAGGGATCGGCAGGAGAGCAGGCCGGAGCGGCGTGGAGTGGGAGAAGAGAGTACTACGTATTTACAGTACCGGTATCAGTATGGGTATCAGATACGATGTCGCCTTGATAAGGAGATAGAGACAATATACCGCTATCTGTCATGGATGTCAACAAGGAGCAGGCTCATGAATCAATCGAACAATCGATCCATCAATCACGACAGAAGGGAAGAGAGACAGACGACTGACAACCAGGACCCAACGATCCACTCGATCTAAGATAAAGATTAAAAAAAAAAAAAAGAAGAGGAGAGCGCACTTAGTAGTATCATATACTATATACGTACTTTTAGCGCACTTAGTAGTATCATATACTATATACGTACTTTCTACTTACTTTCCACTTACTTTTCCACTTACTTTCCACTTACCTTTCCACTTTACTTTCCACTTCCTTTCTATGTACTATACTTTCCACTTACTACTACTTTTCCACTTGCTTTCCACTTCCTTTCCACTTCCTTTCCGCTTTCTTTCCACTTCCTTTCCACCTGCATACACACCTATATAGTATACATACCGGTATACATAACCTCTACCGGTACTCACACCAAGCGATCAAGCGGTCTTCGCTACCAAGCAACATGACACGATACGATACAATACGACACGATATAATACGACACGATACGACACGACACAATATAATACGACACGATACGACACGATACGACACAACACGACACAACACGACACAACACGACACAACACGACACAACACAATACGACACAATACGACACAACACGACAAAATACGAAACAACCACGTTTAGCGCTCCGACCTTACCACCAACCCACCTACCATCAACCATCTACCACCAACCATCAATCACCAACCATCAACCACCAACTGCCAACCACCAATCACCACCTCACTGAACGCAAAAAAGAAAAAAAAAGAAAAAAGACCAGCCAGCCAGCCAGCCAGCTTACGTCGTCGTCGTCGTCGTGATCTAGCCCCATCCTTCTCTCCCCTTCCCTCCTCCCCTTCCACCAAAAGAATAACAATATATATATATATATTTCACAACCTTATAAAAGATTCTTTTACATTTTACACCCACACACACACCCACACCCCAAAGACAGCCATACCTACAAAACAGCCAAACAGCCAGACAGCCAGACCTACAAAACAGCCATACCTACAAAGCACAAACCATCCTCAGATAGGTAGACGAGACGAGACGAGAAAGAAAGAAAGCCCCCTCCCTACTTATATATTAAAAAAAAAAAAAAAAAAAAAAAAATATAGAATGAATAAAATGAATGAATAGAATAAAAA